GCGTGGCAGTAACTGGCAGGAAATAGGAAACTTTCCAAGATGACTGAGCTGTCTTGTACTTGATTAGGTGTTGGTTATATGAGTATTACATTTATCAAATTCTCAAATACATATTTAAGATCAGTATATTATATATACTGACTATAAATTTTGCCTCAATAGAAGTGAAAATAAACCTGAAAAACAGGTATATTTTTACCTGTTAATTGAACCTGTGTGGACAATTGCTTAGAAGATGAGAAAGGAAATGGAGGACTATGCCAAATTTTTAGACATTTCAGTTTAAAATGTGACTTCTATAATTTAAAAGAAGGGAACCTAGAAGCTTAAATAAAGATTTTATATGAAGATCATAATCCAAATTCTTCATTTTTTACTGGTCAGCCTGGGTTTTTTTTTTTAACAGTCAGAGCCTGGCTCTCCCCAGGTACAGTGAGAATGAATTGACGTTCCCCATAAGCCCCTCCCCCAGAATCAGCCACGAGGACCCTCAGTAAGTCATCTGGCCTGTCCCCTACAAAAAGCCTACAGGAAGTTAAAAGCACTGTGTTCTCAGTACATTGTGTCCTCTCAATTATTCTGGCGAGATGTGGCATCTCTGTTGTCTGTGCAGATTATTCAGAGGGTGAGGAATAACCTTTTATCACATCTTGTTAAGAACAGACAATACTGTAAGACCAATTTGTTGTTTTAACAGAGAAAACCAAGTTCTGGTTTTTATATTAATAAATATTTGACATTAATGGATTTTGAAGCTTTCTTTTTTTAATCTTATGAATAAATCCATCAAAATTGAGTTAGCTTTGGCAAAATTTTAATATTTCATTGTATATTTTTAGACTATTATTTGCAGTTATAGTCTAAGGCGAATGAATTTCCCTTTTCACAAACTTACAGTTTTCAGTATGCATCCAGGGTTTGTCCTTCATTATCCTCTTTCACATTTTGGAACAACCTAAGTACCTCAAGTACAACACTAATGTTTCCCATTAATAAACAGAAATGCATCCTGTTACCTTGCATACACGATCATACTTTTGTGCCACTGTTGTTTTCTTAATATAGTCTCCATCTCCATAGCAATTATAACTTAACCAAAGTAACTGACTTCTGTTTCACACAGTTAGATAATTGAGAAATTTCTGTCATACACAAAGGCTTTGGCAAACCAGCAACATTATGAGCATACCTAATACACATATCTTTTCTGTACCTTCTATAAGTGGCAAAAATAGCCACTACATAACATAAAAATTAAAATTGTCCATATGTTAAAACTATACTTGGTGAGCAGTGTTCTGTATTTTGTCTTACTTAGAAATTATTTAAGGATGCTAAGATTATTAATCAACTTATTATTAGGCCAAGGTCTTAAAGTTAACTGATGGAAATTATATTTGATCTGACACACCACAGAACATAATTGCTATTGATACAGAAAAGTTTGTCAGAATTATCAAGTTTTACGTTTTCCTTAATCATCATGAGAAGTTCAGATTTGTTCATGGATTCACTTTGATTACTTAAATATGGATTCTTATATAAAAGTGTTTTTAAGCTAAGTTTCTGTGAGAAGTGTTTTTCTTAAAAGGCCACCACATTTATTATAGCATTTGATGGCAACCCGTCCACTGGAACCATAGCAGACTGACGAATGTCTCACAGTGTATCTCACAATCAGCTGGAGGCTTCAAAACCAGATTCTTGGGCCTTACCCCCCAAATGTCTGAGTCATGGGTCTGGGTTCTGGACTGGGAACTAGCATTTCTAATGAGTCCCTAGGTGACACTGGTGGTGACAGTTCAGGGACGGAAAACTCTGAAGACAAGTTTCTAGGAAGCATGAGACTGCCTTACTCCATGGGCTGTGGAGTTGTAGGCTGCAAGGGATGGAGTGTCTCTGCAGAGAGCAAAGCAGACCAGCTAAGCAAAGAACAGAAATTAGAAGGCTACCATATTTAAAGTATTCTTCATTCACTTTCTTATATCTGGAGGCTTCTTATGTTCCTTTATATTAGATTTTTGTGATTCTTAGTATCTATAAACTAATAGAAACAGCTCTTTTAAGAAACTTGTGTCTCGTTTGTTAATGCCCTTTCCAGAAGCAAGAAAACGTTTCAAGCTCACACAAGGGAGATGAGGGGTAAAGGCTCCCAGGTGTAGACACAGAGCTGACAGCTTCAGGTCCAAAACTTCAGCTACTGGCTGGAGAGAACACAGAGCACCACTGATCTACATCTCAAAGGCCTTTTCTTTTCAGTAGAAGCAAGACATATTCTATAAACCAAAAGACCAAGATTCCAGATTCTCTGCCATGTCACACCCAAAAGACAATAGGTCCCCATCATTCTGTTATGAGGAGTAACACATTGGCTGTGTGCAAACCAGAATCAGAACCATTCATTTCAACGAACCAGAAATAAAAGTAAAAACACAAAGTCAGGAAAACAAGAACAGTAGAAAAATAAACTCTGAAGATAAAGTTTTGCTGCCACTGATAGCCATTCTAAGAGCCAAAGAACAGAGCCTGGGAGGTGTGCTCTGATTGGTCCAGGAAGCTCACCCACTTGAATAACTTGGAATAAATCCAAAATTGTCAAAGTATGATTTTCAAAAAATTGAACACAAGACTCTCAGTATAGTGCGCGTGCATGTCAACACATTATTTAATACCTTGGTAAGGAGCCAGCGTGATGGTAAGGCCAGTTACTACTATCCTTGGCAGTATTTGTTACACGGGACACGAACTCAAATACCTGAAGGGGCCAGGCAACCCATGTAAATAAGGAAAGCAGCATTTATAACCTCTAGAGAGCATGGGAAGTGTGACAAGCTTGAGAGCACATAACCTTCGATTATCTTCAGCTAATTTTTGCCTTGTGGAAGTGTGAGCTTAGTGTTGCTTATTCCTGTCTTCAGTGTGTGATTCACAGAAGTTATTGATCTGGATTTTAATGTGAATCTTCCTGTTTTAAAATGTCGGTAGCTAATTCAGTTTTTAAAAAGCCCTGTGTGAGCCAGACAACTCATCCTGAGGCCTGAAATGGCCCAATGGCCATCAGTTTGCAACTTCTGCAGTAGATATTAGTTATATGACATAGCAATCAAAGAGTTTAACCAAAAGTTGTGTTTTTGTTTGGAAGAAAAGTTTTTAAAGGTTTTTTAAAAACTGTTCACTTTCAGTTTTCTCATGATGTGATAGTGTTATGTCAACTAGTAATTCAGTGCCTGCCACAAATATAATTATGTGCATTTTCAATTTAAGTTCTATTTTTTTGCGATTTAAAATACAATTACTCATTTTCAGAGATCTGTTTCACAACAATGAATATTCTTAACACTACTGATAAATGGTTAATGTGGAAATTTTTATGTTGTGTTTATTTCCACAATTATACATATATAATGTGTTGAATTTATTGAGAATGAAGTTATTCATGTGAAGTTGTCTTTGTGATGTAGTACTAAATGTAACCCATACAAGAAGCTGTGTGGTAGGTAACGAGAAAGCTGGAAGATGAGATATTTTGAAAGGCTGCTTTAATGACCTTGTAAAAAGATCATTAAGAACTTGATTTAGGGAACTAAATTTAGTAATGGGAATGGTGATCAATTTGAGAGACATTTCAGAAGCTAGATTGGTAGAATTTGGTGCAAAACAATTCGGGGCTTGCGAAAATAATAAAAAGGTTTAGGATTTTTTCTTGAGTACAATGTTCCAATAATTAAGTTTGGAAACAAAAACAGATTCAAAAGAAATTAGTTCAGTTTTAGACAGCCGAGGAAGTTCAGGATTTGAAGGAATCCTAGAGGCTACCTAGTGCAGCCACCTTGTTTTACAGATGTGAAAAGTCAGGGCCCCAGAAGAGTCAGTGATCCCTCCGGTCTCACAATTTAAATTGGAAGCAGGACTCAACTTCAAATTTCTGGACTCAAAGTCAGTGTTTTCTCAGGAGACTAGAGCGTCTGCCCTGTGGCGCACGGTTCATTCAGTTCAGAGATGAACTTGCGATGTTGCCGTGATCCTCAGGCTGTCACCGTGTGTTCGTTAACAAGGCCCGTGGATTTCCAGAGACTGGATTCCAGGCCCTTTTCTTGCTCTCCACACTGCAGTGTGCCTCTTCTCGCCTCTTCTCCTGTTCGTAGCCTTTCCTTCAGTTTAAGCTGCTCGTAGGACCTGTAAATGGAAATGATTTGTAGATGTCTGTAATTTCATCCCTGGAGACTAAATAAAAGGTTTTGGGGCTACAGATGGAGATTTGGGAGTCAAGGAATATTTCCCAAGACGTTCTGAGGAATTTAGACTCCTCCCTATCAGAAATTCCCAACCTCAGACGTATGTAAGAATCTTAAGTCTGAGAAAAGGCTGGAGTATTTTTATTTTTAAAAAGCACAGGTTTCAGATTCATAGCTGGGAATGCTATAAGCACTGAGAAGCTGGAGAAGGAGTTGAAGCAAGGAAGCGGCATAGTCAAATGTGTATTTTAAAAGATAATCGGAGCTTAAATGGGTGGAGGGAGAGACTTGGAGCGGTCCAGGCAAGAGATGATAGATATCTTTTAGTGACTGCATAATATTTCATTAAGTTAATTTTCCATAATTCTGCTGTCTTGCAGTGCTTACGCATCTAGGTGTATGTGTGTGTGTAAAAATTTGCTATTATCCCGAAAAAGTGTATCTTTGGGATTTTTTGTTATTCTTTTGAATTATTTCACTAGGATCGGTTTCCAGGAGTAATTCTATTGAGTGGGAGGAAATGAGTAGTTTTGGCTCCTGATTATGTATGACTATAATGGTTATAATCAATTTACAATGTTACTGTCCATGTGGTGGGCCAGATATGACCTTTAGAATCATTTTGTAAGGTTCAACAAAGGAAAAACTGTTGGGATTTTTATTAATTTTATTTTGAAATTAGCAGTAAGTTATCACAGTGTTTATATCATGTTTATGCTATTTTATTTAACTACATATTTAATAACTTAAATTTATCTTTAATAGATTGATGAACTCCCAGAGGGAGCAGTAAAACCTCCAGCAAACAAGTACCCTATCTTCTTTTTTGGCACCCATGAAACGTAAGTCAACCATGCAACTTAAAGTTTCAACTCTATTTTGACTCTATTTTGACTCCGCTAGACTACGTTGTTTCTAGATGATCTGTAACATTTTATATGTTATTAAAATTGTTATAATCAATTCTATAAAATTACCAACCTTAATAATATGTTTTTCTTAAGGTAAAGATGTTCAGTTATTTTGCTTTTGAATGTCTTTGTTCCTGCTTAAATGTTGGGCATCACCCAGAAGTCTCCTTTAGGACACTTTTAAGTCCTAGGGTGGTCCCCTTACCATTCCCAGTCATCTCTTTTGTGGTTCTTACATATTTCCCTTCTAGAGAAATTTTTTCCATTCATATTTTACAGAACAAAATTAATCCTCTCAGGCTCCCTCGATTCATTGGACCCTGAAGCAAACATACCGCCTTTTTAAGGTTTTCTAATTGTATTGGTTCGAGTACAGACTAAACTGTTGAATAAAAGAACCTGAAAAGATAGGTCTTTCAGACAATATAGAAGTCTCTTTCTCTCAACACAATTCAGAGATAGGCAGATACAGCAAGGTGGACGGAGTGCTCTGCTCTAGGGACACAGATTCCTCTGTCATGTTGTCCTGTCACAATTCAGAGATAGGCAGATACAGCAAGGTGGATGGAGTGCTCTGCTCTAGGGACACAGATTTCTCTGTCATGTTGTCCTGTCCCTGGGGTGTTGTTCTTGTTTGCTTATTTCTAAAAAAAAAAGAAAATTTAATTAAAACTCAAACTGGCTAAGCAGCACCTCTGCATCTTTCAGGTAGTGGGAGCGGGGAAGGGGAAAAGGTGAAGAATAAGTAACTCCTTGTAAGGAAATGACAAGGAAGCTTCATGCATCATTTAATCTCACATTCATTCCAGTGGCAAGAGCTTGGTCATAGGGCCACATCCAGCTGTAATGGAAAGCTGGGAAACAGTCTGTAGTTGGGAGAAGTGACCCATTAATAAAAGAAAGAAGATCATGGATACTAGTGGATAGTTGGCAGTCTTGATACTAAGGATATATATGGTTAATTACAGCAAGCACACAAATGGAATAGAAATTGCAAATGTGGGGCAAAGCTAAAAACTATCGTGGAATCTTACACGTCTTCAAATTCAGAGTCATCCCCTGTATTCACGAGAGGGTCAGTAGAGCCTGGGATGAGCTTCGTCTTAGCTGGCTCTCTCTGCCACTCGGGCATCTTCCTCATCTCGTCTGGAAAGAAAGCTTGCCAGGAGAGGGTCCTGAAGACATGTGTTTCTGGTCTTCACATGAGAAATAGTTGTATTTCTTTCAGGAAGTTAGTTTCATTTTCTTTTGTTTTATTTTTATCCAGTAGACACTGTGGACTGTGCAACTTACCATGTTTTCTTCGGTAAAGAGGTTGCTAGAAAGTAGCCCGACCCAGGCTTGCTGTGTGGCCAGCTATCCATTTTTTCTGCTTTGAAGCATATGTATGAAACATCTTGTGATATGTACCTAACGCAGAGGATTTATACATACTTCTAATATTGTTTATTAAAACATGTTGACACTTTAGTCGATAATGAGATAAAAAATATCTTACATTTGAAGGTCAGAGTATCAATTCTATTTCTAATGTATGTCTGCAGGGCATTTCTAGGTCCCAAAGACCTTTTTCCATATAAAGAATACAAAGACAAGTTTGGAAAGTCAAACAAACGGAAAGGATTTAATGAAGGATTGTGGGAAATAGAAAATAACCCAGGAGTAAAGTTCACTGGATACCAGGTAATGGTTTTAGTTTCCTGTCACTTGCTGTAGCTCCTTTCTTTGTTTTGGTTTTAATTCCTTTTTGGATCATTCTTACGTGTCCTTTGTACTAAAAGTTTCCCTCTGTCCATTTGAAGTCAGACTCCTTTTTGGCTCCTGTAGCATTTTGGAGTAAATGTAATTCTGTTACCCAAGAGGGTTCAAGTCAGGTAGTCACTGAAAAATTGAGGTTGACAGCCCTTTATTTTGAAAATCTTAAGAGTAAGCTGAACCCTTTCAAATTAAAGTAGAATGATTCTTTGCACAGTCTATGTTCTTTGCTATTTTTTCAAAAATATAATGAGTTAATATTCTATTATTTCTTAGGCAATTCAGCAACAGAGCTCTTCAGAAACGGAGGGAGAAGGCGGAAATACTGCAGATGCGAGCAGCGAGGAAGAAGGTGATAGAGTAGAAGAAGATGGAAAAGGCAAAAGGAAGAATGAGAAAGCCGGCTCAAAACGGAAAAAGTCATACACTTCCAAGGTTGCTGAGAAACTCTTCCCACTGTTATTAATGTTGCATGCATAGTCATCGAACGTCTCAGATTATTTTTAATTCATTCGTTGGGCGCACAGAAATATACTAGCTCTGTGGAGCCTTATCCTTAGAGGCAGGATAGCCAAAGGGAATAAGACAGGTGACCTCATATGTGAGAGAAACCGGCTATTGACTCTTTGGGGCTGATTTGGCTCCCAAAATACCGCCTTCTCAGCTGGAGGAGGACTTTCTTTAGTCAAGGATCTAAGCTGGTCTGCCTCCTGCAATAACCACCACATGAATGCTGAAGAATTCAGGAATACAGGAGACCTAGTACCATGCTGGACCGTCTCGGTATACTATCATGGAAATATAAAGAGATTTATATACTCTTACTTGTCTTTCTGCTTTAAAGAGTGTGCTTTGGCTCTTTTTTTGTTCATTTTCCATATTTCCTGTCACAGATTCTGTGTCAGACACTTGAACTAGGCATACACTGGTGAGCAAATCCAATTTCATCCCTATCCTCATGTAACTTAAAATTCAGTGGATTGGGGGTCGGGCTGAGTAAACAAGCAAATAATAAATAAATATAAATTGAGAATGAAGTGAATGGGATCAGGGAACGACAGAGAAGGGTTTCTCCTTTAGGTCGAGTGGCCAGGCCTTTCGGAAATGGAGAAGTCGATGACACCTGAGCGAAGGATGTGGCAGAGCGGCAGGGCCCTGAGGCAGGGCAGAGTTTGGTGTGTCCTGAACTGAAAGGCAGATGTGGTTGGGGAACTGTGATCGAGGCAGACGCAGGCAGAGAGACTGAATAATGGAGACTTGTATGCCACATTAAGGACTACGGATTTTATTCCAAATGTAACATAATTTATTGAAGGTTTTAAACAGAAGAGTGATATGATCCTAGATTTACGGATTGAAAGTTTAGGCTTTTCATATAGTAATTCAGAAATACAATAGAAAAAACTATGAGATTGTAGAAACTGTTCACCTTAAAAGCAAGATGAATAGATCTCTGAAGACCAAAGATTGGTACAGATTTCACGCCACTTGGTCTTTCACACGACTGAACACTTGGACAAATTACTTTCATTTAGATTCTGGTATTTAGTGGCTGAATATACTTAGGAAACTCCTTAAAAACAAGTGCCAAGAGTTTATCAGACTATAAACCTTCCGCTTTACAGTCTATAAAATCCACCTAAATCACATACAGGTAAAATTGTATAAATGTGTATGACTTCCTGAGCACCTAAATGAAAACCATGGTATTTGCTTTGGATGGGGATAAAGTTTGCAAATAACAACAAAATAATTAGAATTTTCTCCATCAGACTATATATTTGATTGCAGTTACATTTTAAGCTGAATCTCTTATAGATTTTTGGACTTTACTTAAATACCCAATTGAATATGTTTTAATTAATTTACGATTACCTGCTAAGCTTCTACGTCATGTGTCCGACCACCCTAAATTATCTAAGGTAGCCCTAGGCATTTAGTAGTATGGATATGTGGCTTTTAAATGTCATGAGATCATTGCTCATTGTGAAGAGCCAAAGTAATGGGGCTCATACATCTATTTACATCTGTTGCTTAAAATTGAGTAATTTTCCTTTGCCACTAAAAAAACCAATGATTCACAAACTTTTGACTACATATGTTAGGCGAAGGGAAAGGGCCCACAACCCCTCTACCTTACCTAATTCCATTTTTCTGTGAAACAAAAAAACAAAGTTCTGTCAGTAATCAGAATGAAAAGCCATAGCATAAGCAGATGTGAGGGAGGTTATGTCTGTCTTTTAGCAGTAAGTGTGTGGATGGTTCATATTTGAGGCGTAACAGATCCTGAAAAATTATAGGTGAAAAATACGTTGCATGAAGTTATTTACTGTGTACAGTAGGGGTAATCAGAGAGCCTCACAGCAAACTAAACGGATGCTGCTGCTAAACCAGTAGTAATCTTACTTAAAAACAATGATGACAAGTGGACACGCAACCAATTCAAGAGCACACCGATGACACACGAGAGGTCCTTTGCCCACAAGGAACTGCGATGAATATGCATAGTGAGAGCTTGGCAAGGTTTCCAAATCTAGCTTGGCAGCCAGATTTCTTAGTAGAATACTAAGTATGACTCTTCACAACCTTAGTAATGTCCCGATTCTGGTCTGTGTAGACCCAGTTATAATATAAGTCACTCGCAGGGTTACTCATAAGTAGCCTTTGTAAGCATTATAAATTTTATGGGGTTGTGTGTTATTATCTAGAAGAACTGCAGGTCAAGGACTGTTATTTGAGAATTATTGTATAAAGCAGCTGCTGCATTTCAATAATTGTACTTTTTTTACTAGGAGGACAAAATGTATTTCACTTTTCGTATTGTCATGCTTGACCTTAACTCTAACTCTACACACTCCACGTTTGGATTATTAAAATCTGCTTTCCCTTCATGTAAAAAGTAAAAATGACCTAATTTTAAACTGAAATTTTGGCTTAGTTGGTAGTTTTGGCTGAGTAAAATAGAAGCAATGTGATTATGTCTTCTGTCACATAGCTTGAAGGTATTTTCTCCCTGGAAAGCTGCATTTTAAAATATTGATTGTTGGAGGATGCTCCCGTTTGCTAATTAATTTCTGGAAGACCAAAAGCAATTTGGCTAAATAGATTTTGCCTTAGCTTTTATTTGCCATGTGCTTAAAGATTCTTAAAATTCCTCACAGAAGAACTGTTAGTGATTTGCTACATTTACTTTCTTAAAGGTGTTCAGTGGAGCCAGCTTTTGGTCATTTTAATGCAGTTCTGCAAACCAGCTCTGGCTGTGAACTATAAGTGTATTTTCTTCCTCTAGAGTTCATCTTAATTTCAAATGCAAGATGACGAGGAAAAAAGAGCTAATTCACCAGTATGGCCTTGGTTCTTAAGTGACTAGTCATAATTTAAAAGATTAAGTTAGTTTATATCAACTAGTTATATAAAAGTTTGCTCAGGATCGTTCCATGTATACCATTAGCCAAACAGTTTGAACAGATATGCCAACGTGAATGTTAACGTAGTATTTTGTATAGTTCATTTCACTTCTCTGGACCTTAATTTCTACTATAAAAAGACAGGGAAGGACAAGAGGACCGTTAGGGTGCTTTCCAGCTCTGTAGCCTTCCCAAGCTGGCCTCCATCCAGCTGTGTTTATTCATTGACAGTGTTCTCGGTACATGAATCTCTATTTTCTGCTTTTACATCCCACTGCTGGAAAGGACTAAAAAAAAAAGATCTAGTCCACCTCTCCTTTCATTCCAGCTGGTTAAACTGAGGCCCGGTGAGGTGAAATGATTGGTCCCAGGTAACCTAGTTCAGCCTTGGCACACTGCATGGTGTCGTGCCAAAAAGACTAGGCATAGGTCAGCTACTTCTGCATTTCTTACTTACGCTTGAGCATTTGGATTTCTACTTTTGACTATAATTTTTAACTTATCTAAACATATAGAAATCCTCTAAACAGTCCCGGAAATCTCCAGGAGATGAAGATGACAAGGACTGCAAAGAAGAGGAAAACAAAAGCAGCTCTGAGGGCGGAGACGCCGGCAATGACACGAGAAACACGACTTCAGACTTGCAGAAAACCAGCGAAGGGGTAAGGAGATGCACGTCGAGTCCCTTCTCCTGACTCGGAAGACTCTTTACTTCAGAATCAGGACCTACATCTCAGTATTACTGACGCTGTCCTTGTAAATGGAGACATAGTCTCAGCCTGATAGATCTGTCCACTGACAACTCCTGAATAAGCGATTAGATGCTTAGAGCCTGCAAACAGAGGAGAGAGTCAGGTGAGAATTGCACCTGCTTGTCAGTTTGGAACTCTGAACAGTTTTTTTTTTTTTAAACCAACTTCAGCAACTCTAGGGTCTTTAAAGTAAGGTGTGAAATATTGAAATTATGAAATGCCACCTCGAAATTTGACAGATTTATTTCTTTAAAATAAATGGCATATTCAAAATAGGGTATTTCACACTGCTTCTCCTTTCCTAGAAGTGGTATGTAATTTAATGTACCCTTGGGGCTTCCAGTATTTAAATATTCAAACAATATGTGAATATTGATATTTAAAGGACCCAAGGGGAAAACTTACCCACTTTTGAGTCTTGTTAACTTTTGTTAATCTCTATTAACTTCAAAATCACAGGCGAAAACACCTTTGCAAAAGTGTTAGTGAAGGCACATTTTGCTCCTGGTCACTTTCCGTGAGTCTTTTCTCTGTGAAGACTAGCTTGACAGTGGCAAATCATTTAAAAACAATAACCCATGAAATAATATTACTCTTCCGTTAAATTCTGGTGTCAGCTGAGTTCTTGCCTTTTCTTGTCAATACTGTTTACCTCTCAGCTCCCCCCATCCAGTTGCCATAATCAGTCCCACATCGTCAGGATTCTAATTGCTCCCTTATTTCTCTCACCCCGCTCAGCGTTACTCTTTCTGCCTATCTTTATTCTCTAGACCTCTCTCCACTAAATAGTCCTCTATCATTGCTTTTGCCTGCAGCCTTCTCAAGACGCAGACCTACTAGTAGTTGTCACTGAGGGCCTGAATACTGGACTCATTTGATTTTCTTTTATCCTCCCTGCTCCCTTCATCCCAGGTGCTTCCCACAGCGTCTCTCCCTGTTACTACCAGGCTCGTTTCTAGCTGCACTTTCAGTGACAGAAGAGGAGATAGTCTGCACCCTCATTATTCAGAGTGTGGTCTGTGGACAGGTAGCATCAGCATTACCTGGGAGCTTGTAAGAAATGAACAATCTCAGGCCCAACCCCAGACCTACTGAATCAGAATCCGTATTTTGTCACTGATGTGCACACTACAGTTTGAGAAGCACTAATCTGTACCTTTCCGTTGCCAGGGTCCCGAATATCATCTTTTCCTACTTTCTCTGAGGCCACGCCCAGTCATCCCCTTTCTCTCCTGTACTTCATCTCGTGGCTCCTCCCCCTCTGCCTACACAGATGATTGGTCTCCCTTAACCTTAAAGATGCCTTCCTCCCACCACGTGTCCTGCTCTTTCGCCTTTCTCTTCATCTCTAAACTCCTTAAGAGTTCTCTTTTCTCCCAGTGTCCGTGTCCTCACCTTCTACTCGTGCCTTAACCCACTGCTCTCTTGTTTCTCCTTAGACCATTTCACTGCAACTGCTTTTGTAAAGGTCCCTAGTGATCCTGTCATCGCCAAATCCAGTGTCTCCTTTAGTCTTCATTTTGCCTCTGCAGCATTTCATACCATCTGCCACTTTCTCCCGGCTCTGCCTCCAGGTCTCCGGTGTCTCCTGCTTCTTCTCCGTTCCCTCCGTCTCTGTTTGGAACTCCTCTCTGTGGTCTGTCTGGGCGCACTTCTGCTGTGAAATCTCGCCCTGTGTCTCATCCACTCACGTGGTTTCAGCTGTTAGGTATTACTGATGACTTCCCCTTCTGTTTCCCCTCGTTGCAGATTCATTTTTCTAAATGTTAATGATACCATTTCTACTTGACTATCTTGAAAGCACCTCAGAAAATAGGTGCCACTAGGAGGAGAGTCGAGTGGTGTCGGCTAACATTTCAGTGATGTGCCATATATTGTGCTAATGCCGTTGGTGCAGTATCTCATTTAATCCTCACACAGACCCCGGGAGTAGGTGTCAGATACTGTCCCCGTTCTGGAGCTGAGGAAACAGGCTGAGAGGATGGGCCCCGGGCCACACAGCTAGTACGAACGAGCATCCTTTTCTCACCTGTTTTTAATAATGTATTTGTTACATACAAAAATATATGTAATATAAATATAAAGTAATAAACATAATATTGTATTGAGTATCAGCGAGTCTACCATTCAGCCGACAAACTAAAATATAACAATAATTTTATGTATTTTACATGTTCTTCCCCATCCTGTCTTCCTCCTGCCCGGTGATGACCGCCAGTGTTATATTTATTATTTCCTTTCATTTTCAAAATTTTAGTCCATACCTAACATAAATTTAAATTATAAATTGTCTAATTTTGCTCATTTTGGGGCTTTTTAAACAATGGCAACACTTGCTGCTATGCTTCCAAGATTCTTTCATGTGGTTATTTGTCATTTACTCATTTTTTGCTTCTATACAGTAGTCAGTTTTACGACTGACTATACTGCAATCGATATATCCGATCTCTTGTTGATGGCCATTTTGGTTGTTTCCAGCTTTTTGCAATTATGAAGAGTGTTGCTGTGCACATTCTCACATTTGCATCCTAGTGCACATATGTAAGAATTTCTTGAGGTTGTCTAAACTGGAACTGGGCGTGCTGAGTCATGAGATTATGGTCTTTAACTTGCAAGATAATGCCCAATTATTTTCTTACGTAGTCAGACCAGTGTACACTCCCACCATCAGTGTATGATTTGGCATTGTCAGACTTTAAAATTTTGCCAATATAGTGAATGTAAAATTATAGTCTTAATTTGCAGTTATTTGGTTAATAGTGAGGTTGGGCTTCTTTTAGCATAATTTTGACTGCTCATGTTTCCTTCTCAGTACAGTGCTTGATTTGGGGTATTTTGCCCATTTCCTATTACATTTTTTTTCTTATTGATTTGTAGGACTCCTTTATATATTTTGGATTCTAACTAAACTAACGTGAGTGGTCAGAAGCATTGCAGCTGTCTTCTCTAAGTCTTGCCTATGCAGTTTATGATACCTTTTAGTGAACAGACTTTCTTAATTTTTTTATTGTCAGATGTATCAAACTTCTTTTTATGGTTAGATCTTTCTGTCCTGTTTAAGAAATCTACTCCTATCCCAAGGTCAGAAAGATATTCTTCTATATTTCATTTTAGAATTATAAAGTTTCATTTTAAACATTTTAGTGTTTAATCCATGTGGAATTGATTTTCGTATATGGCATGATGTAGGATCTTGTTATGTTTTCGCCCATAGCATAACCATTTGAACAAGTCCCATCTATTAAATAGTTCTTCTTTTCCTCTCTGATCTGCAGTGTCACGTGTCATATAGCCATGGCCCACTCTCTGGGTTCTTTATTCTGTTTTTGGTCAGTACCACACTCTCTTAATTATAATAGTTTTATAACGAGTCCTGATATCTTACAGGGCTAGTAGCCTAATCTTAAACTTCTCTTCAAATACTTAATAGTCTGAGGCCAGGATAGGAGATCAAGAGGGGCTTTTTTTCTTTATAGGAGAATTTATAGCACGTATGCTGGTAAGAATGCTGTGAATGAGGAGTGATCACAAAATAATAACGTAGGAAAGAATTGCCGGAGCAGAGTTCTTTGGGAGGCAGGACGGCATAAGACGTGGTGCACATCTGGAGGGGTTACCTCAGTTCATCCATTGAAGCTGGAGGGAAGGCAGAGTATTTGGGCACAGATGTGGGTAAGTGGGTACTTGGGGTGAGAGCTTTTCAAAGTTCTCATCTGATTACTTTTATTTTCTTAGGACACAAGGTCCACATTTGAGAGTGAGGACAGGAAGAAGTATTGGAAGTTTCAAGAGAGAGGAGAAGGGATAAAATAGTCACTTAGAAGAAGAGAAGAGTGGACGCACTTGGGAAAGGAAGTTGAATTGCCAGGCAGTGGCGAGGGCCCGCTTGAGGTCAGTGGTCATGGATTTCAAGTGAGAACAGTCAGGACGGTGGTGTGTCTTCTCCAGGCATGTTCGGCCGTGCAGTCACAGGGAGGCGCAGGGAGTAAAGGCGGTCGGCAGCAAGGGAGCAGAGGGCGGGTACAAGAAGGGAACCATCACAACACGGGCCGCGGGCTCCAGACCGTGTGCGAGGGGAGCAGGACACAAGGAAGGGTGGGGCCGACGGGTTCGGAGTATCAGAGAATGCGTGGCATCGGCGTACGAGACAAAGGAGTGAGCTGGTGACAGAAGAGTGAGACGCTCAGATCGAGTGACGGAGGGGTCGGCAGGTGCAGCTGGTCAGAGTGCAGGTGCTGTCGATGTTCTGAGTGGGACAGCTCTTCACCGTGTGAGCATCTCCACAGCACAGGGCATCTAGTGCCCTTAGCCCCTGCCCGTTGAATGCCATAGAACCCCCAAGTTCTAAGGTCAACCTAAAATGCTCCCATAATTTTGCATTCCCCAAAACAGTGACTTAAATAAAACAGTATTCACAAGTACTCCCAGTGGTTGTGAATCCCTTGTCTAAGAAACACCCATGCGAATGAGGTGGGTGGAGGACGAGGTCTTTGGAGGAGAGAGTCAAGTAACTGAGAGATCAGCGTACTGCAAAGACAGTCTGCATGCATGTCGACTTTCCAGCTGTTGTGATACCACATGACAGTGGGCCAGAGCTAAGGTCTTAAGGAGTAAGGGGCAGTGGCCCAGGGAGTCTGCAGATGATGCAGTAAGGAGGGGGAGTAGTTTACGGTATTGAGATTCAGACCTAGGAGGATTGGGGGCGGGGCAACACAGGGGAAAAGAACAGTCACTTAGAAATAAGTAGTAAAGATCAAAGAGGACAGCTTCTGCACCCTCGGGGCCAGGAGTGCAGGAGCCGTGGCAGAGAGAAGAGCTGCCAGTGCAGGGGGTTGCAGGAGAAGCAGCAGCGCTATCCTCACGGGAAGTTGGGTTTCAGTTGGAGCAAGTGAGTGAGTGGAGTATCTTGGAAATGCAAGGTGCAAATGTGGGAGATTTGCTGTTGGCGGACTGTGGCTTCCAAGGTCTCCGTGGAAGATAGGCATGTGGGTCGGGTGGGAGAGTTTGAGTGATGAGGTGTTGTAGCTGACTGGGGATGAGAGTCCAGGCAGTGACAGGTGCTCGGAGCCCACCCTGTGGTAGCTGAAGTAACGCAGAGATCAAGGGCATAAAGATGGAGCTCAGGTCTCGAGGCAGATGGTAGTGTTGAGGTCGTGAGTATTGGTAAGGGAAGAAGAGGAAGGTGCTACGAGGGGCCCCTCAGATTTCTGGGGCCTTTGTTAGTTCTAGAGGCTCTCTGGCTCCATCCTCACTCCTTCAGTGGAAGCCTGAGAGGCAGGCACCAGAATGCTTGGAGCTCCCCTCCTGA